GAGTGGCCAGATTATTATGACCACCTGACGTTTGTAGGCAAATTAGCTATACATAGCTATAATTTCGCGCTGAAGTTGCTAGAGGGCCAGACCATTATAGATAGGGAAGCAGGTTGTTTACCACGACAGTAGAAGTTATTTTTTTCTGAAGATACGGGTAAACAACGCGATTTAACAGCCTTTGAACGTGGGATGATTGTTGGCGCTCTGAGCCATGGGGCGAGTATCAGCAAAACGGCAGAATTCGTTAAATGTTCAAGAGCCGCTGTTGTTAAAGTGTTTAAAGACTGGACTGTCAGACGAAAATCTGGGTCTGAACGTGCATATTGTGGTCGTCAGCGACTAGTCAATGTTAAGGCAGAACGGAGAGCGGCAAGACTGGTACAAGACAACAGAAGAGCAACAGCGCAGTGTCAGATTCCTCGCATCACCTTTCAACATCTCGTGGAGTCCTGAGGCGGCCCAACGAAGTACTGATGGGGTGGTCATAATAATCTGGCCACTCAGTGTATATTTCTGCACATTTTATTTTGGTGTTCACACACCTGACCTTGTGGTTTCCGAAACGTCGCTATTACGATGTGACACTATAGAGGTAAATAAACATTCACTTATCATCAAGTTGGAGTGCGAGTGACTTTTCATTATTTGTGTGTTGGTGGAGACATGCACACCTAACTAGCACATACAAGGGTGGCTCCATAGGACCCTCCTAGGAAAGGAGCCATCCTAAAACAGGATATCAGGGCCAGTGCTCCAAGGCTCATCTGGTTTGCGGGAAGGTACAACTTTTAAACATCAAGGCGCTGCTCCATTGTAAGTGATTTCTTTAGCATTTGAATTAGCTGAAAGACATTTTGACTTTAATATCACTTTTAAGTGTTATTTGTTTCTGAAATGATTATAGTTTATTTATTTTTACAGATATTTATGTAGCACTGACAATTTACACAGCACATTCACATCAGTGCCTGCCCTCCAGTAAATCTAAGTTTCCTATCCCACCTGCATGCATACCAATTAACCTTCCAGCATGTCTTTGGAGTACCTGGAGGAAACCCACACAAGCACAGGGAGCACATGCAAATTGATAGATAGTGTCCTGACCGAGATTTGAACTGGGAACCCTGAATGCTGCAAGGCAGAAGTGCTAACCACTACACCACTTTGAAAGCCAGTGTAAAAACAAGAGTGAACAGAGCTCATACAGGAACATTTCCAGCTGCTTCTAGCTGGTACATTGTATTGACCAGTAGACATGTGCACCAGCAAAACATTTGTTTAGTTTTGTTTCATATTGATTCGGATTTTGCGTTATTTCGTTTTTCGGGATTCGGGTCCGAAAGTCAATTCGTTTCGGGATTCGGTCAAAATTAGTTAGCGGTAGTCTGTGCGAAGTTTCGTTTCCGTTTTTGTGTTCGTTTCATTCGTTTTCGTTGCAGCAAAGTAAAAAAAGATATATTGCTGCAATGAAAATTTGTCCACAAACGAAAATTCATACAGAATACCGCTAACTTGGTTTCGTTTTCAGTTGTCATTTCTGTTATTCGGAAATTCGGATACATCCGAATCTCCGAATAACGTAAATTTGTTAGAAAAACAAAATTTTACGAAATGAATCGCACATGTCTATTGACCAGCAATCTAAACCTACTAAACACAGTAGCACAGAATGAATCAAGAGCTTATACCCTAAGAAGTAAGCATTGCCTTATTTCTCATGCACTGCTGTCTGGGGTCCATATAATGGATTTCAGTTTCTGATCTGAAGACTTCTCATCCTCCCTCTATATGAAAGCATAATACATATGTAGGTATCATGGACAGTGTGACGATGGGAAATCAACAAATTAGAAGTTAAAAGGTTATTAAACCCTCTGTTTTTTTTGTATATATCTACTGCTAGCAAGCAGTAGATAATGCAAAAAGCATTAAAAAAAAACCGCTTTAAAAGAGGTTAAAACTTACCTGTGTCTTCACAATAAATACTGCTACTTGGAACACAATGACAGACATCAGCCAGTCGTGCATTAGAAGGAGGGCAATGTTGACTTTTTATGGTGCAAAAATGTTTTGTGCAAAGCAAACTACAAGTAACACCATCCTTATGTTTTATGTATAAAATGGTTTATTTCATGCTTACGAAAAATACAGACAATTCAAAGAATTTAGCATGGATAGACATTTTAAATCCTTCAGAGCTAATGTGCTAGTGTCCCCTTGTTATTTCATACTCAGGATATCCCTCTAATATTTTTTATACTTGTCTCGCTCTTTGTACATCAAGACATTAGACAAGAGTATTTATAAAGCAGCGATTGTGACATTCACTATACAGTCACTGCATGTGAATCGTTCACTGTAATTTAAAACATACACCTGAAAAATTAATCAGTTTGGTAAATATCACAAACAATTTTTTAAGTTTAAATATAATATAATGTACAAAATAGTTTTCCTCTGTAACATTTAACACATTTTAAAACAAGGCCAATTTTTTCTTGGCCTCACCTGAACATAATCTGTGGGGACATGTATTGCTTAGTAGGATCTATCATTTTTAAAATGCTGTAAAAATGCATGACATATTTTGAGATTTTTATAATGTATAAATTAAATTACAAATAAGGGATTTTTTGTGCATTATGCACTATTATGCACTATTATGCAGACTCTATACTCACCCCAGAATTACTGTATAGAGTATTTTCAATTATTTCATTGAATTATTTAACTATTTAAAGCTAAATTCCAGCAGATATAAAAGACACAAATGAATGTAGTTTTTTTATTCATCAATACACCCTTAAATTTATTTTGTTTTAAATGCGAATAGCATAAATATCTGAATGTGACCTGGTATCAGCCGCTTGCAATCACCTGTACAGCAGAGCTCAGATAGGGAGAGGGAAAAGCAGCACAAGGAACCAACTAGTTGTACTGCAGTGCTTATGTGCTAACAAGATGCTGATAAGAGGACAGAGAAATGAACTCATCATTCTGCTACATCTCCTTTTACTATCTGGTCACAGACTTGGGGAGGAACAAGATTGAAGTACAGAAATATTAGGTCTTTTGCCTTTCCAGGCAAATCTATGGTCTGTGGCTGGGCTGTGTGAATCCCAGCACTCAATAGACAGAAATATAGCTCATATATATATATATA